TGGTTCTTGGTGATGTAGGGGGTCAGTGGGAGCTGTAGATAGATGGTTCTTGGTGATGTAGGGGGTCAGTGGGAGCTGTAGATAGATGGTTCTTGGTGATGTAGGGGGTCAGTGGGAGCTGTAGATAGATGGTTCTCGGTGATGTAGGGGGTCAGTGGGAGCTGTAGATAGATGGTTCTCGGTGATGTAGGAGGTCAGTGGGAGCTGTAGATAGATGGTTCTCGGTGATGTAGGAGGTCAGTGGGAGCTGTAGATAGATGGTTCTCGGTGATGTAGGGGGTCAGTGGGAGCTGTAGATAGATGGTTCTCGGTGATGTAGGGGGTCAGTGGGAGCTGTAGATAGATGGTTCTCGGTGATGTAGGGGGTCAGTGGGAGCTGTAGATAGATGGTTCTCTGTGATGTAGGAGGTCAGTGGAAGCTGTAGATAGATGGTTCTCGGTGATGTAGGAGGTCAGTGGGAGCTGTAGATAGATGGTTCTCGGTGATGTAGGGGGTCAGTGGGAGCTGTAGATAGATGGTTCTCGGTGATGTAGGAGGTCAGTGGAAGCTGTAGATAGATGGTTCTCGGTGATGTAGGAGGTCAGTGGGAGCTGTAGATAGATGGTTCTCGGTGATGTAGGGGGTCAGTGGGAGCTGTAGTTAGATGGTTCTCGGTGATGTAGGAGGTCAGTGGGAGCTGTAGGTAGATGGTTCTCGGTGATGTAGGGGGTCAGTGGGAGCTGTAGATAGATGGTTCTCGGTGATGTAGGGGGTCAGTGGGAGCTGTAGATAGATGGTTCTCGGTGATGTAGGAGGTCAGTGGGAGCTGTAGATAGATGGTTCTCGGTGATGTAGGGGGTCAGTGCAAATTACCATTTTCATTGACCTTTCATCTCTGTCATAGCGAAATGTTCTTGTTTTCCCCCCTTTTGTTTTGTTCCCCACGTGTTAGAGAAGCTGTGACGTATTGAAACAGAAGGGGAACGAAATCCTGCGAAACCTTCCAAAAGAAATAACACATATACAGGGTTATTCGCTGAAGTCAGAATTTAAAGTGAATTTCAAATTTAAGGTCAAAATAGACCAAACCATGTAGGAGGTCAGTGGGAGATAGATGGTTCTCGGTGATGTAGGGGGTCAGTGGGAGCGTTAGATAGATGGTTCTTGGTGATGTAGGAGGTCAGTGGGAGATAGATGGTTCTCGGTGATGTAGGGGGTCAGTGGGAGCGTTAGATGGTTCTTGGTGATGTAGGAGGTCAGTGGGAGATAGATGGTTCTTGGTGATGTAGGAGGTCAGTGGGAGATGTAGATAGATGGTTCTTGGTGATGTAGGAGGTCAGTGGAAGCTGTAGATAGATGGTTCTTGGTGATGTAGGGGGTCAGTGAGAGCTGTAGACAGACGGTTGCTGATGCGGTAGATGGGTTTTTAAAGGAGTTTCAGGAATTGCAGAATACTAGTTTTTAGTGGGAACTGACACTTGGTCTAAACTCTCTCATTTCTCTTTTCTGGTGATGGGCACGCTCCTCTCTTCAGGTTTGCTGCTGTCAGTAACCGGAGCGAGGATGGACAGGAGTCCGTCTGCAGAGAGAGCCGAGGTTAATGCTGCTGGGTTCACGGTTGAGGGGATCTTGTACCGCCGGTGAAATTCCCGAGAGATGAAGCCATGTTCATCCTGTACCGGACCGAAAAAATGAGATCATTACTAAGCAGACTAGGGCAGACTCTCCCCTAACAGCGCTATATGCTCATTACATCACATGGATGCTATGTGCACGTTACGTCACATGGCTGCTATGTGCACTTTACATTATTACCTGGCGCTCCTCGTGCTTCGCGTGGACCTCCACGTAGTCTCCCATCACCTTCACATTGAGCTCCTCGGGAGCAAAATGTTTTACATCCAACAGAACAGAGAACTGATCCTTATCCAGCTTTACCTGAGTAGAGATAGGGAGGGAGACAGAGAGAAAGAGAGCTCACTTACTGGGCACTACTGGCAGAGAGAGAGAAATTACTGACTGGGCACAGCAGGCAGAGAGAACTGACTGGGCACAGCTGGCAGAGAGAGAGCGAAATCACTGACTGGGCACTGCTGGCAGAGACTGGGCATTGTTGGAAGAGAGAAATATCATTGACTGGGCACAGCTGGCAGAGAGAGAGCGAAATCACTGACTGGGCACTGCTGGCAGAGACTGGGCATTGTTGGAAGAGAGAAATATCATTGACTGGGCACAGCTGGCAGAGAGAGAGCACTCACTGACTGGGCACAGCTGGCAGAGAGAGAGAACTCACTGACTGGGAACTGCTGGCAGAGAGAGAGAGAACTCACTGACTGGGTACAGCTGACAGAGAGAAATAACTCACTGACTGGGCACTGCTGGCAGAGAGAGAGAACTCACTGACTGGGTACAGCTGACAGAGAGAAATAACTCACTGACTGGGCACAGCTGGCAGAGAGAGAGAGAACTCACTGACTGGGCACAGCTGTCAGAGAGAGAGAACTCACTGACTGGGCACTGCTGGCAGGGGGAGGGAAAACTTACTGACTGGGCACTGCTGGCAGAGAGAGAGAGAGAGAACTCACTGACTGGTCACTGCTGGCAGAAAGAGAGAACTCACTGCCTGGGCACTGCTGGCAGAGAGAGAGAACTCACGGGCACTGCTGGCAGAGAGAGAGAGAACTCACTGCCTGGGTACAGCTGGCAGAGAGAGAGAACTCACTGACTGGTCACTGCTGGCAGAGAGAGAGAGAACTCACTGACTGGGCACTGCTGGCAGGGGGAGGGAGAGAACTTACTGACTGGGCACTGCTGGCAGGGGGAGGGAGAACTTACTGACTGGGCACTGCTGGCAGAGAGAGAGAACTCACTGCCTGGGCACTGCTGGCAGAGAGAGAGAGAACTCACTGCCTGGGTACAGCTGGCAGAGAGAGAGAACTCACTGACTGGTCACTGCTGGCAGAGAGAGAGAGAGAACTCACTGACTGGGCACTGCTGGCAGGGGGAGGGAGAACTTACTGACTGGGCACTGCTGGCAAGGGGAGGGAGAACTTACTGACTGGGCACTGCTGGCAGAGAGAGTGAGAGAACTCACTGACTGGTCACTGCTGGCAGAGAGAGAGAACGCACTGCTGGCAGGGGGAGGGTGGTAGCAATCAGTCAGTCAGTGTATCAGCGGGCATGGAACACAACATTTTAATAATAAGCTGGTGGGAAATCCCCTAGATGTGATTTTGTTTAATTTATTTTTCTCGGTCTAATGTTGACATCCCTGGAACTGGATACCCCAAATTCCTTTATTTACCCCAATACCAAATTAATTTGTTAAATCAAATACCCTGTGTCCAAATGCAAATGAAAACCAGGTAAATGCACCTGATGAGTCCTTTATCTAACACTGAATGGGGTTATTGTGTAATATCAGGGAGACCGCGAGATTGGTTTATTTCAGTGTTATCGTTCTAACCATAAAACCTAACTCTGGCATCAGAACCACCTTCTACAAAGGCATGGACAGGGCATCTCATGCAAATTACCATTTTCATTGACCTTTCATCTCTGTCATAGCGAAATGTTCTCGTTTCCCCCCTTTTTTTTTTGTTCCCCACGTGTTAGAGAAGCTGTGACGTATTGAAACAGAAGGGGAACGAAATCCTGCGAAACCTTCCAAAACAAATAACACATATACAGGGTTATTCGCTGAAGTCAGAATTTAAAGTGAATTTCAAATTTAAGGTCAAAATAGCCCAAACCAAAAAACATTCTCTGAGCCAGCTATGCTACCATTCCAAAATCCTCAAAATCAGCTATTTGGCTATAAATTCCGACTTCAATAAATAAACCCCAGGGGATAGCTAATTTTACTGAATACAAAAATGCTAATAACACAAGATAACATATTATGGCTTCAAAATCTACTCTTATCACAACTTTATGATAAAGATGTTTTAATTCCCCAATCTGTGTCCCATTCTCCTATCACACGGCGTGCCCTGTCCTCGCTGTACATCGCTACAAAGCTTGTTGGCGCTATTTAAACAACGGATAAGACAGACACACAGACAGCCTGCTGCTCTGACCTCAGACAGTCCGGCTTCACTTGGCTGCGTGAGGCTGGGAGAGCGGCAGTAATAGGGGCTAAGGCCCAAGGGCATCGTAGGGAATAGTTCAGACTCCAGGACCCCTTCTCCAAACCTCTGTCCCAGTATGCGACTGGGGAAGAATGGGGCAGCCATGACTGGGCGACGCATCCAGGGGTGATGGACTGTGATATCCATAGTGGATAGCAATCTATATCCCAGGCAGAGAGTGAGAATTCACAGCGCTGGGCTCCTTATATAGAACTCCAGAGGACACCCCCCCCCACCCACCCACCCAGCATGATAGAATGCACTAGAAATGGACAGACGCTTCCAGCAACAAAATGGAAAAGATCCAGAGTTATGGGGGGAGAGCAGGGAGGGGGAGATGATAAGATGAGACAAAAATAGACAGAAAAAGGCATCGAGAGAGATATAGAGACTGAAAGTGCTTGTGGAGGGGCGATGGGAGACAATACTTATTTACAAAAAGGGTAGTAGATACCTGGAATAGCCTTCCAGTGGAAGCAGTAACAGTGATATAGAAAGGGTAGTAGATACCTGGAATAGCCTTCCAGTGGAAGCAGTAACAGTGATATAGAAAGGGTAGTAGATACCTGGAATAGCCTTCCAGTGGAAGCAGTAACAGTGATATAGAAAGGGTAGTAGGTACCCGGAATAGCCTTCCAGTGGGAGCAGTAATGGCTAACAGTGATATAGAAAAGGTAGCAGATACCTGGAATAGCCTTCCAGTGGGAACAGTAACAGTGATCTAGAAAGGGTAGTAGATACCTGAAAGGAAATGAAGAAGGCTGGGATGTGGTGAATGCTGTAATATATTACCAATAAGAAAAATAAGTTGGAGGTTTCATTATGGACCATTAGACAGGCAATTGGTTTTATTTTCCAAAAATATTTACATTTATACAATTATGAATAATAGTGGATTACATTAATAATTGACTACTTAGTGCAAAGCTTAAAATGGACTCTGGTTATATGCTTATGTCAATGTGTTATTAGTTAGAAGTGTATCTATGATTAATTAAAGAATGCTGTAGATGTGTATAAGGCTATAACCGTGATTTCTTGTTTTGCAGTTTCTCTGTGCACTAACAGTGCTTGCTGCTCACCAAAGCCTACTGTAAATGCGACATTAAGAGACATTGTGTTTATTACGACAACTAAGTAGCAATATTTCTCTCATTAGGCAGTTTACCTGTGACTACTCACATCAATGACTATAGCCCTTCGGTTTATGGTATACTGGGTGGTCCATCACTAAAAGGGGATTCTTAAAATGTTACATTTTCAAAATAAAAAATAATAAAGTAGCACTGTTCTGAAAAGCCCAACACAAAATCAGTTTGTAAAGGCATATTCTACAGGATGAAAAGACTGGTTTTCGGATGCCATTTAATCCGACTGGGTTTGGAGTTTCTACATGTTAGGGCAGCAAGGGGTTAATGCAGCAGCTGTGTATGTGCTATGTTTTGTTTGCCAATACTGGGTATCCGATATCATCACAGACACCAGATGCCCTAAGCATGAGCCACGGTTTATTAATATCAGCCCCCGCCAGCACCCGGTCTGTCTATATTCCATGTGTGACCCCTGCCAGCACCCTGTCTGTCTGTACTCAGCTCAACATGTAGCCCCGTCTACACCCTGTCTGTCTGTACTCAGCTCAACATGTAGCCCCGTCTACACCCTGTCTGTCTGTACTCAGCTCAACATGTAGCCCCGTCTACACCCTGTCTGTCTGTACTCAGCTCAACATGTAGCCCCTTCTACACCCTGTCTGTCTGTACTCAGCTCAACATGTAGCCCCGTCTACACCCTGTCTGTCTGTACTCAGCTCAACATGTAGCCCCGTCTACACCCTCTGTCTGTACTCAGCTCAACATGTAGCCCCGTCTACACCCTGTCTGTCTGTACTCAGCTCAACACGTAGCCCCGTCTACACCCTGTCTGTCTGTACTCAGCTCAACACGTAGCCCCGTCTACACCCACTGTCTGTCTGTACTCAGCTCAACCGTAGCCCGTCTACACCCTGTCTGTCTGTACTCAGCTCAACTTAGTAGCCCGTCTACACCCTGTCTGTCTGTACTCAGCTCAACCGCATTAGCCCGTCTACACCCTGTCTGTCTGTACTCAGCTCAACCGCATTAGCCCGTCTACACCCTGTCTGTCTGTACTCAGCTCACCACGTAGCCCCGTCTACACCCTGTCTGTCTGTACTCAGCTCAACACGTAGCCCCGTCTACACCCTGTCTGTCTGTACTCAGCTCAACACGTAGCCCCGTCTACACACTGTCTGTCTGTACTCAGCTCAACACGTAGCCCCGTCTGCACCCTGTCTGTCTGTACTCAGCTCAACACGTAGCCCCGTCTACAACCTGTCTGTCTGTACTCAGCTCAACACGTAGCCCCGTCTACACCCTGTCTG